CCTTCGCGGATTCAAGATAAGCCTGCCCATGGTCCAGGACGCTTCACCATGGAGGAGCGCTATGCCGAAACCAAAATGGGCGCCGATCGTTATCAGATTCTACAGGTAGGTATTACATGCGCCAGGTTCGACTACATCGCGAACAAATATGTCCTGAGACCATACAACATCAACATCAGCCCACTTTTCGACGAGCGTATGGACTTTGAGCGCGAAATCAGATTCCAGAGTGGCGCATGTACTTTTCTCCTCGGCTGCGGTTTCGACCTGGGCGCACCATTTACCAAGGGCGTACAGTACCTTTCCCGAGAAGAGGCGGAGCGGGCGAGACAGATGGCTTGGGATCGGCTGGAGAACAAGAACCCGATACCGGACTTGCAGCTCAAGGAGGGCGACGTTGAGTCTCTTGATTTCATGCGCCGCGTGAGGGAAGCTATCAAGAAATGGAAGACTAGCACGTCCTCCTCTCTGGACATCACAACTCACACTGGACTTTCTGCCGCGCCATCGATACCGGTAATCACGCGATTTGAGAAGCGTCTTGTGCACCAGCTCGTACGTGCCGAATTTCCAGAGCTGGTATCCATAGGTCGCAATGAATGTGTTCGCATTGTTGACTTGGACCCGGTCCGCGAAGCCGACAACATGCGCAGGATCAAGAACCGTGTAAAAGATTCTATCATACGGCAAACGGGTTTCCGCTGGATCTTCGAGGCTCTGGTCAAGGGCGGAGATATCAATCGCACAGGTCCACTTTACGCCGCCCGGACTACAGGCATGCTCTCCACAGCCGACGCCCATGATATACGGGATCGTTATGATAGAGCCATAGAGAGATTGAAGACCAAGCAACCGGTTCTTGTTGGGCACAACATGTTCACTGATATCGTTTACTTCTACCGCACTTTTGTGGGCGAGCTACCAGTACGTGAAAAGTTTGATGATTTGTAGGCAATACTAACTTCGGCCAGGATACTCTACAAGGTTTCCAGGATGTAATACACGAGTTGTTCCCCAAGATCATCGACACCAAGTATCTAGCTACTTATGCTGAGGGCGACCTCAACGCATCGCCGTCGCTGCAAGATATTGCACAAAGCTTAAGCAGACAGCCTTTACCCGAGATCATTACCCATGCCGACCATCCCAAATATCAAGAAACCGAGAGATTCCATGAAGCAGGCTATGACAGTCTTCTGACTGCCACCATTATGATCAAGCTTGCCGCCAAGCTTGGTGCAGAACGAGGAGAAAAGGTCACAGCACCGTTATTCAGCCATCCTCTCACCCTCAACAAAGCAAACGGCATATTACAGAGTGAAGACGTTCCGGACTTTGTCAAAGATGGACGCGAGAAGGTTAAGGAACCGGTTCCCTTACCTCCCGTGGAACAACCCAAACCCAGAAAGACGAAGAAGCAAAAGGCAAAAGCCAAGAAAAAGGCAGCAAAGGAACGAAGATTCGAAACTAAGAATCTATTTGATACACTCAAGACGCTGGATCCGGAGACCGAAACATCCTCCACTGAAGAAGACGATGATGCCAAACTTGCCCAAAACGGCGTATCTATCGAATGGGATGAAGAGCTCCAGGAAAGCGCTGGGTCATGGGAAGATGCTGTCCATGTTCAAGATAAGACGGGATGGGTGCCGTTGGAGCAGATGAAGCGACGGTCGATGGAGCTGATACCGGCCTTCGACTCCAAGTTCTGGGATGAGTTTGGAAATACGTTGCGAGTCTTTGGCACTGAAGAAGCCATCCTGCACATCGCAGACTGGGAGGCTTGAGCATTACGCAGTGTCAGATGTACGAATGTAGGCTGATGAAGAGACGGAGTTGCCAGGATGCTCTTCGGAACTATGTATTACTATGTGAAAGCTGGAGTTATGACATGAGCGACGTCAGAAGAACCTTTTCCACATACAAAGTATATTCTTTTGTCGAGACCCGGTAAGCAAGTCACTAGCTTTGTATACACTTCACCTCCGTCCTTGCGTCTTGTCATTACCAAACCCATCCTGCAAAAGAACAAGACTCGCGATCAACGCTCGCTTTCACAGGTCCAATGATTTGCAACAATTAAAAGAGCTAGATGGGTATAAACAACAGGAATCTCTTAATCTCTGTACTGGAGTTACGTCCAACCCATCAGGTCAGATCGGAACCCACGATGTCCACTGAAAAGATCTACTACCACCTCGAATGGCCCGACCCAAGTTGAAAATCCGACACCACTCCGACTGTTCTCCACGGCTACACGAACAATAAAATTCTAGCCGAACGCACCAAAGTGTTTGGGCAGATGGATCATCGTTACAACGTTGTGCGTCTAATCGGTCCTGATGAAGCAAGGTACGAGCAAAGAACGAAGGACTTCCCGGAACGTGGTAAGTGTCAGTTTTGAGTGGGACTGGAGAACAGGGCTGGGGCGTTTGAGTAGCGAAGTTCAGAGTGGTTGTACCTTTGTCTTCGTCTATATTCCAGGTACAGATGCATCTAACTGTAAGATGAAGTGGATATGCAAACTTCTAGCAACCTCGGGGTCCATCGAAGACAGGTTGCTACATCCCTCTTCGCAATGCATGTGTTCCGACACACATGCTCAGTAGCGGTTAGTGAATGCCTTCTGCCCTGAACTTTTCTCAGATGTGCTTGCAAGGCATATGGCGCACCGCACGGAGCGTCGGGTGCGCAACGCCGCTACAATCCTATGCGCTACTAGAATGCCCTTGGCAAACTTGGTCAAGTTTCGATACATGGACGTTTGGCTTAGCAGCCAGAATGCACCACAGGATCGTCATGAGTATTCGTTGACCCCATTACGGCAGAAGGAGTAAAGACGGGTAATTACAGGGAGAGTATGAGCGTTACGAACGGAGAATACCTGCGCCGTTGCTGCACTGTTGGCGCCTGGCCGCTCAGGTATGCGTCTAGTCAAGCCACAATCATGATTGCTTTTCCCCATCTCCGCCCACGTCCGGATCTGCGGTTACAGTACTCGTCTAGATATTGCCGGGCCAGCGACTTGACAAGCATGCTTGCCCTGACACCGAGCAAATTCGGCACCGTGTTGCGGGGCGTATCCAGGTAAAGCGAGCGCTACAATCCCTGCTTCCTCACGCACCCTGTCTGCAGATAGTCATACATCCGCTCTTGTGCCTGCTTCAACTTGTAGGCAACTGTCCGCCCACCACCCATCACCTTGCCCTCCCCTTCCTCAGCCAGTCAGAAGAAAACACTCCCCACTTCTAGGTATCCTTGCAACGGTAAAGCTCAAACCTGGCCCCACCGTGGTTGATCTCATAACGTGGGTTCCCCTTCCAGGTGTTGATAGTCTCTTGGGGCGTTCCGCCAACGTCGCCTCGCCTCGCGTGCGTCCTGCCCTGCGGGCCTTTGCGCGAAACCCTGTCTCTCGCACTGAACCCTGTCTGTCGCGCGGAGTCCTGCCCTTCACACGCATCCTGCCCTTTTCGCGCGTCCTGCCCTGCGAACTTGCGTGCAACCTTGTCACCTTCTTTATGGCAATCCGGACCTCGTGCGTACCGGAAATTTGCTGTCAGAAGTTTCTGGAGGATGCACCGCAGCCGGCTGATCCAATACCAGGTTGTGTCCCAGCTCTATGCAGCATTCCGGGTGGTCTACCGTAACATTTGGTGACGGAAGAACCATCATTAACACAACTCCATGCCTGCTCTAACTGATCTTATGAACTGTCTGGATCGTGTCTCTTCTTCGTCCGGCCCATGAAGACGGTGCGTCCTCTGTCTGCGAGAGAAACCTCCAAGTATCAAGTCCAGTCAACTCGTCTCCACTCCAATCATGACAGTTGACATGCGGTTGCGCCTTTGAGTTGGCGGATCTGCGCCTACTGTACACTAGAGGAGATGACGCGGGCAAGCATGGCGGGCGTCAGGTGGTATGCATGACACTCGCCAGGCGACGCGGATGCGGCCATGAACTAGGTCTACGTTGGTCAGTCGGGTAGCCGTGCGGCGTTTCATGGCGAGGGAAAACCGTCGATGCGCACAGACCGCACCAGCCGTTTACCCTGTAGTTCCTCGAGACGCAACCGTAAGTGGAAATCCACGTCAAACAAGAGGAAAGCGGGGCGAAATGATACGCCCGCGTACCTCCACCCGCAACTCTCTTTACACACTGGACCGGCACCCTGGTTGCGCCTCTGCTGTGTGGGCAAGCTGGTGCTGTCTGTGCTTTGCATCCAGCGTCTTCCGCGTGCTCGTGGCAATAGAATGGGAAAGCTTTAGTCGATGGTATGGCGCGAGAGTTTTGTAGTGAGAGTGAGTCCTTCAGACGTGTGCATGTTTAAATAGAGGACGGCGGTGGCCTCCTTGTACATTATCTTCATTCTATAGCCAAGAGCTCATAAACTTCCCCAACCTCTATCAACCGGCGAGTCAGCAATTATGCCTTACATCATCGATGCACAGACACAACACGGCACCCAGTTGCGACCTACCACTGTTGTTCATGAGCCGGATGTTCGATCGTAAGCGTGGTACCTTTTCATGTATTATGCCTTCCTAACGCATGTTTAGGACATTGGCGAACTGCTCGTGCTCCAATGCCTCGAATGGCCAAGTAAAGCATGACTGTACAGCTGTCTCCTATGTCCCTCAGGCTGCAGTAGCGCCTCGAACAGATCCCGCCGGACGTATCATCGACCTGACGTGTATGGGCTCGCAATTCGATGGACACTGAGAGATACGTTGGTGGGGATGGATAGATGTGAGAGGAACATGGTATTGGATAAAAGATCGGACATGGCGTTTGGTGCAGGGCACTCGTAGGGCGGACTTCGCATTGTAGACACCATACCTAGGTATGGTTGGATAATATAGATGCTCGGTCCAGCATTGCTTCATGGGATGGACCAGAAGGCATCGGCGCGAAGGCGTTACAGTCAAGAAGAATCCAACCCCTTTTTTTGTTTCCTCTATCTTCTGCTGGCCGACTCTCCTCACATCGTGGGTCGATGGCGTTCAACGGTGTGCAGGTCCAGCAATGTCTGTAGCCCCAACAGGCTCAACATTCACATCCACATCCTTTGTATATGTCGTGATCGACGCGGGCACTTCCCGGGGATCTTCTTCGTCCGGTTCAGCAATCTCGTTCTCCTGCGGTAGTGGCTCGAAATGCGCGTTATTGACCCTTTTGCGATCGATACGCCGTCTCCAAGGCTTGTACAGCAAAACACTGAGACCACCAAACACGATGAACGTGCCACATATCGCCCCACCTACGTGCTTTTAGTACAGTGCTTTCTTGACCTGACTGATCAACTTACCAACTATGTCCCAAGCGTCACCCAGCTTTTCGACGCCATCCCAGAATTTGCCGTGTGGCTCGGCAACGTTAAGTACTAGATTGAGGAACTGTACTGTCCCGATTATGGTCGCGACAATAACAGTGATGACTGTGAGTACAATGCTGTAGTAGCAAATAGCGATAGGGTCGCGCGCTAGTTGTGTGCTGGTATACAAACTCATCATCAGCGCGCCGTCTGTTGTGTCGAGAAGGCACATGCCGGCAGTGAAGAGCAGCGGAAAGATCAAGATCAGCCAGATGGAGGTTCCTTTTGTTGCTTGAATTGAGCTGATTCCCAGAATAGCGATCTCAGAGGAAGTGTCGAATCCAAGACCAAAGAGCACACCAAGAGGATACATTTTCCAGGGTCGATCGACCAATTTGAAGAGCTTCTGCAGGATTGGAAAGAGGCATCCCCCGCCCTGAATCTTGAACTCCTCGTGCTCACTTCCGGGATCACTCGCGATCATCTTTCGCATCTGAACGATGAGTTTATACAGAATGTAGATGTTCATGAGACCAAGGAGTAGCAGGAAAGCAGCAGATACAGAAGTTCCGATGATACCACCAACGCGCTCAAAATTGCCAAACTTGTCTGAAACGGCTGCTGCAGTGCCTGCGACTACGAGTGACGTGATGATGACAATAGTAGAGTGTCCAAGACTGAAGAACATTCCAACTGTCACTGGACGCTGGCCTGCTGCAATAAGACGGCGAGTCATGAGATCGATAGCCGAGATGTGATCTGCGTCCAGGGCATGACGCAATCCGAGAGTATAAGAGAGAATTGCGGTCGATATCAGAGGCGTGTGCCAATGCTATGTATGATCAGCTTACCCAGTCAACACGACTCAGACTAGACTTCTCTACGTACCAGAACGATACCTACTGCCGCCCAAACTAGAAGGTTCACTACGATGAGCGTGATGATGATTGCGATCACGGGAAATGGAAGCCTCCTTAGGTATGGTATCTGCGCATGGTATGTAGATGCTTTGTTCGACGCGTTGCGGAAGAATGATGGTTTGGCTTCCGCATCGCTACCCGCGATTGACAAGGGGCGGGAAGTCGCCATTCTACTTGAGCACGCTCCCCACGGTGATACAGAGAGGAAAGAAGGCGACACTAGGTCCGATGGAAGGAAAAGGGAGTTTGAAAGAATCGAGACGACGAAGCTTGTAAGACAAATATTGAGGATGCGGCTCCTGCCGAAGCACCGTGGGATGCAGATGACGCGAAGTGGGGCTAGCAGCTGTTATCGCGACCCTGGCGGGGTAATTAGCATCGTGATGTACTAATGATCGCGACTTTACAAAGCCTCGGCATTAGATGTGACAATCAACAGCTTTTACAGTGGATATTATGATAGGACCCTTTTCTCAAATCTTACGAAAGCAAAGGGATGCGTTGGTGCCACCAAAACCGAAGCTGTTTGAGAGCGCGACGTTGACGCTGTGTTGCTGAGCAGCATTGGCGACGTAATTGCAATTGAATTCATCCGCTGGATCGCCTGGGTTTTGAAGATTCAGAGTCGGAGGTAGAGTGTTCTAGTCACTGTCAGTCATTGTGCCACGCATATTAGCACGCCTGACTTACATGATGCATCCCGAGAATCGTGAATATAGACTCTACGCTACCTGCGGCGCCGAGAAGGTGCCCGATTGCACCCTTCGTACTGCTCACGTTGATTTTAGAAGCGGCTTCCTTTCCATCTTCGCCCAGCAATAGCTCTTTGATGGCTCGATTCTCCGCAGCATCACCCAGTGGGGTACTTGTAGCATGCGCGTTAACGTAATCGACAGCACTAGGCTTGATACCAGCGTGCCGCAGTGCGTGCTTCATAGCAAGACGTGGTCCTTGACCATCTTCGCGAGGTGCCGTCATGTGGTATGCGTCGCTAGATAGTCCGTAGCCCGCGACCTCAGCATAGATATTCGCACCTCGTTTCTTCGCGTGTTCGAATTCCTACAATTTGTTAGATAAAACAAATCTGCAGAGGGTGATCGCGTACTTCAAGTATCACAACTCCAGCTCCTTCTCCTATGACAAATCCATCCCGTTCTCGATCGAAGGGCCGACTTGATTCTAATGGTCGATCATTGAACTCGGTGGCCAAACTCCTGGCTCTAGAGAACCCCGAGATGGCCAGAGGATGGATGCATGATTCAGCTCCGCCAGCGATCATCACATCAGCGTCACCAAACTGGATCAGTCGTGAAGCGTCTCCGATGCTGTGTGCTCCAGTCGTGCACGCTGTGGTTGCCGCGTGGTTTGGCCCCTATCATAGTCAACATTGATGATAGTGTACAGGACAGGGTTCAGGCACCTTGAAGCCATATCGCATAGAGATGTGGCCCGCAGCGAGATTGATTAACAGGCGTGGAACAAAGAGTGGGGATACCTTTCGGTAGCCCTGATATTTCTTAGTCGACAATCAGATAAGGCAGCTGCAACAACGTACGCCTTTCTCATAAGCAACTGTGGTATCGTACACGTCATCTAGGCTGCCAATGCCAGATCCCATGTATACTCCCTGGTAAAGTGTTAGTAAGATGTAAGCTCAGGTCTGGTTGAATTTTCCCACTGTGGCCTCAAGATCGTTTTCTTTCTTCGGAAACCAGCTAGCATCATTCAAAGCCTCCTCAGATGCAACCATGGCATATTGTGCGAAGCGCGCCATGCGACGTTCATCCTACAATATGATTAGGATTAACCAGAAGATGCCTAGATGTTGGCAATTACAGTAGGACTCAAATGCTCCTTCGTGTTCCATTTGCCATCGCTTTTGCTGCCTTGAGGAACTAAGCCAGCCACCTGACTAGGTAGTAATGCGAATTCTGAGCTTCTATCTTTGATGGAAATGATGCCGCATTGGCCGTCGATCAAACGCTTCCATGTTTGTCGAACACCTGTCTCATTTAGCTGGAAAGTCTCGGGGAAAGATCTACATGATTTCACCTAATCCGAGAGGGGTTACAAGCCCTAAGCCTGTCACTACTACCCGTCTCATCGCATGTCAATGATGATGGTTGATATTGGTGTAAGGACGCGTTCGGGTGAGCAGGAAGAGCTAGTGCCACGCGCAAACTACATGTGGCGCGTGTTAGCGTAAGGTGCGTGCGTTTTTGGCGTCATCGTTCAGCTCCTTCCATTTCTCATATCCTCAATCGTCTTCTTCTCACGAATAGGTGCCACTGTCAGATGCACATGGTGAAGGCCAGAAAATTCTTCTTTTGTAGAATTATGGTCTCGTGATGAAATAAATCAGCCCAATTGTGGTATGCGCATTATTATCTAGTACTCTTGCGCCAGCCGTGGGACGCCGCTTTGATCTGTTCTGTTTTAAGCTGTGGGCAATCCTCTTCGGGTCAATTCACAAGTTCGCCGCAGAATTCAACGAGCCCACCAAATTGACAGTCCCGAACGATCAGCGCCTCCAGACTACCTGTCGGATTTATGGCAATGTATAGTGGTAGCATTGCAATCATACCAACTCATCGCTAATGCGTCTACTTCGCCACCCATACTGAGCTCTTCTACGCTGGACGGAGGTACCAAATCGTCGTCAGCCTGCAATTCGCTCATATGAGGAGTACCTGCCCGGTCTTCACGAATGTACTCCCGATCCTCTTCCTTGACAAAAGTGATTTGTTTGCGTTCAGGACCGATGACCTCAGGAATGGTTTGCTCCTCTGTTTTGAACAAATAGTTGCTCATCTCGATGTTGAACACGCGTCCTCGTTTTCGATCTCTTTCGTGTTGCACGCGCGCTTTTAGCCGGCCCATCTCTCGACGAACATCGCGCGCTATTGTGGGAGACATAACGAAGGCGTTGATGGCCTGAGCACAGCTTGATGTTGGTGACCGCAGTAGTCCTCCTCGCTTGCGTTGTGCTTTGTTGAACCTCGAACCATCGACTGAATTATGTATTCTCTCTAGGCTCGTCCACTTGATAGTCTCAAATTGTCTTGAGTCGATTGCTAATAAGGGGTGCTCCCTGTACCATGGTATTTCCGTCGTATCGGGTGTTGCTGTTTCTTCTAAGTGATGTTGGCAATGCTGATCGGATCTTGGGACTTGAGTGAACAGTTGGGGATGGAGATCCAAGGCCTTGGAAGTGAAGATCAAGCTCTGGCCTCGGCTGGACAAAAGAGGTGCCATTTTGGACCATAGGTTAGTCGCTTCACAACTCATTATCCGAGCGTCCTATGATGGGCCACTGATAGATATATGCTCCCTTATGACGCCGTCTCGAACCTTATGTGATTTCCCAGTGTTGGCTGTAGGTTTGCATCTCACGTGTAGCACGTAGAGTTGGTCACTGTGGTGTGTAGGACGATTGATCACAATCGCACCATTTGTTTGACGGTCTTTACGCTTTCGGGAAATAGATGATGATTGTGTCGTCGAACACGTGGAGCTAAGCGCCGAGTGTATGGCTTAAGTTTGCGGTGCTGACATGATCTCTTGGAAGTCTGTGTAGTAGTGTTGTCAAACAAAGTACCGTCGAACTTCGATCAATCAAAAGCCTGAATCTTGGACTGGGCATGGCAAGGGGTACTGAAGCGACAAGACAGAATGTGGGCACTAGCAAACATCTCTACAGGTCAGTCTAGCATAGAGTTCTGGCTGATCGTTGGTGACACAGACAGCGATTACGCCGACACTTCGTGGAATAGCTGGAGTATTTTTTACCGCGCTTGGACATGAACGACGGACCGGAAAAGCTTCGACATTTTGTGGAGCTTAGGGTGGCGAGGTTTCTTCTTGGGGAATTGAAACAAAAGAGTGTTGATTGAAGTTCGGTCCGTCAAGAGAATCCTCCTGTAGGGGAAGCTACGCGAATTGCCGAAAGCACGTCATCGTCTTGGCGAGCCTCGTCTAGCGGCAATGCGCGAGCATCACTCAACACCAGAGAGATGACTCCCCGCCATGTGATAAACACGCCCCACTTCCTGCGACGCAGGCCTCAGATTTCTCTACTTGAACGTATTCAATATCGCCATCATGGATTCTCAAGGGCTAGGCGCTGAAACCGCCAATGGATCCAAGAAATACAGTGAGTATCCTTTGAACTTTTTTTTACCGTCGCAATCCTTCCGAGGTAGTCGTGACACGGTGCAATCGGAGTGTCTCGTGTATGGTGATATCGTCACACGCAAACATAGCAAATGGCTGCTGCTTGCCGTGACTTGCTTCGGGCGATGATGCCGACTCCAAAGACAGCTTTTCTCGTCGCGTTCTGGTCCTGATCATCCAAACTAACATGCTACAGGGACGGTGTCGTCGCAACCTGAGAACCCGTTCGCCAACCTCATTCCTGATCAAACCTTCGCTGTCATACCGCAAGTCACGCTCGAATCTGGCGTTGTATTACAGAATGTCAGCGTTGCATACAAGACGTACGGTACCCTCGCGCCCAGCGGAGACAATGCCATGGTGATATGCCATGCGCTCACAGGAAGCGCTGATGTTGGCGATTGGTGGGGTCCGTTGCTAGGAGGACCTGGAAAGGCTTTCGACATCTCGCGTTTCTTCGTGGTATGTATGAACAGTCTCGGCAGTCCATACGGCAGTGCAAGTCCCGTCACAGCAAAGGACGGCGACGCGTCGCTGGGCCCATACGGTCCCGAGTTCCCACTGACAACTGTGAGAGACGATGTCAAGTGAGTCAAACATGCTCCGAGCCCTATGCTTGGACAGCGCTAACAGGCGTAGTGTCTTCAAGCTGATCTTGGATGATCTCGGTGTGAAGCAGATCGCTGCAGTTATTGGAGGATCTATGGGCGGTATGCTTGTTCTCGAGTTTGCATACTTTGGAAAAGACTATGTCAGAACCATCATCCCGATAGCCACGTCGGCTCGCTACAGCGCATGGGGTATCAGCTGGGGCGAGGCGCAACGGCAGAGCATCTACAGCGATCCCAAATACGACGATGGCTACTACTCATACGAAGACCCTCCGTCGACTGGGCTTGGAGCAGCACGTATGTCGGCCCTGTTGACCTACCGGAGCCGCGATTCGTTCGAATCGAGATTTGGGCGCAACACGCCAGACCTGTCCAAGAAACAGAGCATCAATACTGTACCGCGCCCGACGACCCCATCAAATCCTTCGCACGAACATTGGGCTATACATAATCACGGCCACAAGAATGCTGGATCGCCGCGTCTTATGTCACGATCAAACAGCAGTACCGCCATACCTGGCTCTGCAGCGGCACAGGCTGATCTCGAATTCCACGATGCGTCGGGCCCTGGGACGCCGAACCTGCAACGGACAAGCTCCACAAGTAGCAACGGCGCATTCCCTCGCTCCTCGAAACCCTTAGCCCCTCACTATTTCTCAGCACAATCATACCTCCGTTACCAAGCCGACAAGTTCATCAAGCGCTTCGACGCCAACTGCTACATCGCTATCACTAGAAAGCTGGACACACACGACGTATCTCGTTACCGTTATCCTGAGGGCGAGACCCCCGACACACTGGACCCAGTATCGGCCCTTCATCATGCGCTTTCTTTGATCGAACAGCCCACCCTTGTTTTGGGTATACAATCAGATGGCCTTTTTACATTTGCCGAACAGAAGGAGCTGGCCGCTTGTATTCCGAAAGCCACGCTCAAGACCATCGACTCCCCGGATGGTCATGACGCTTTCCTTCTAGAATTTGAGCAGGTAAACAAACATCTGCTGGGCTTTTTGAATACTGAGCTCCCAGAAATCATGAACAGAACGCCAAATGTAGAAACCGTCAAGAGCGATACTGGTATGACTGCTACCAAGACCAGTACATTTGGTGAGGCTGAAGTTGAGGATATCACTGCATGGTAAGGAGGACGACAATGTGAAATTTAGCATGGCGTTTTAGGTTTAGGAGAGGACTGCATTGGTCGGCGTACAGTTTTCGGCATATGCTTGAAAGAAGGCTGTATGATTATGATATGCTCTAAGGCGAGAAGAGCTGAGGTTCAACCCCTCGTAAATACCAGACACTGCAGTGGGAAAGCAGCAACAACATCAACAATCATCGAAGAAAATCTAACTTGCAGTTTCTTGAGGTATTGCGAATCGCCATATAACAGAGGCTCAATCTTATTCGATCAGTTTCGCGTTTGTACCCCGCCTTGGACGCTAACTCCTAACTCTTTCCGCGACTCCACTGTCTTCAGTCCCCCTCAACCTCGGTTCTTGCATTCTGCGGATTTTCTCCGCAGGCTGCGAAATAAACGTGCGTTATCCGATCTTCCCTCCCGAATTGCGATGCCGCGTTATCACGAGAACTTAATCACGATGTACAATTAGTTGCAAGCGCATAAGCCTAGCCACGATGGAATGATCGTCGTATTTTGGGTCGAAAGCGCTTATGCATTCGAAACTCGGATGGGTCAATTTAAGCTACCCGTACGAAGGCCAAGGAAAGGGCGCGTTGCTTCTGAACCCCGCACATAGGCACTGCATGTCGGGTCCTTGTGGTCGTATACGTATTCCCCATCTTCCATTATATATGCCCCTTCGTCTCGCTTTCTGAACCTTGCTACCCAAACCGTCTTCTCGTTAAGTCACATTTTCTTCATCTCAACCGTCATCGTCGGGACGAAGTCACAATGCAATTACCCAAAACACAAAAGGCCGCTATCAAGCAAGGCACTGGTGATAGCGCGACAACCACCATCAAGGAGATTCCCGTTCCAGAACCATCCCCCGATCAGATCCTCGTCAAGATCAACTACACCGGCCTATGTGCTTCTGACAAGTCCCTGCTTCACGATGAATGGGACTTCAAGATGGCAGAATGTACAAACGGTATTGCGGGTCACGAAGGCGCTGGCACTGTCGTAGCCGTTGGCTCTAACGTGCAAGATCTTTGGCAGATTGGCAATCGTGCTGGTATCAAGTGGATCGCGTCCGTATGCCGGAAGTGCGAGTTCTGTACCAACGGTCAAGATGAATGTCATTGCCCAAAGCAATTGAATAGTGGTTTCACTATTGCTGGAACGTTCCAAGAGTACGCCTTGACAGATGCGAGGTATGCGACGAGGTTGCCTGATGGCGTCAAGGATGAAGAGGCGGGTCCAATCATGTGTGGCGGTGTAACAGCGTATGTGGCGTGTAAGAGGAGTAAGGTGCTTCCTGGGCAGTGGCTTGTTATTCCTGGAGCTGGTGGTGGTAAGTAAACACATGCTTCTTTGATGTATTCGAAAAAGAAGACAGAGGCGCATCCAGTCTCTAGAGACACTGACATAACTCAGGCCTCGGTCACTTCGGCGTCCAATACGCCAAACATATGGGCATGCGCGTCATTGCAATTGACGGCGGAGACGCCAAACGCGAGCTCTGCCTCTCTCTCGGCGCAGAAAAGTTTATCGACTACACGACGTGCTCAGACATCACATCTGAAATCATGAAGATCACTACCTACGGTGCTCATGGAGTCATCGTCTTTGCCGCCACGAGAGCAGGATACGAGCAAGCACCACATCTGCTGAGGCCGAACGGTACGATGGTATGTGTGGGTCTGCCGAAGGATAATACTATTGTCGCAGGTGCTAGCCCCATCGTAATGTGTTTGAAAAAGTTGAATGTTGTGGGAAGTGTAGTGGGTACATTGAAGGATGTTGAAGAAGTAAGTGTCGTGTTGTGATTGGATATGCTGAAAGTGTTGGCTAACGAGAATCTAGGCGCTTGATTTTACTGCACGAGGCTTGGTACATCCAATCTTGACGCATGGTGGGTTAGAGGACATCGATCGATTCTGTGCGGATATGAATGCGGGAAAGCTTGCTGGACGGGCTGTGATTAAGATGACTGCGTAGATAAGTGACATATACCATAAATACCATTAAACAAGGAGAAAAGTCAAGTTCCAGAACTGCAGACAATCTCATGTTGACCTCCATTTGGTACGGGCACCGTATTAAAGAGAAAAAACAAACTTCCCCTTTAAGAGTACTCCTTCTTACTGTAAAAGAGCATATTAAGAGCATATAGATATAGATTAAAAACCTAGAAGACTACAATACTGTTAATCTTAAACGTTTTCTAATTAGAAGATAATGTAGGCTGCAAGGTAAAGCTTGTTATATCTATACCTGATCGGTTTTTCCCTCGTATACGGTGCGGGTTTTCGTTCCCCTATGGTTTTCAACATCCGCCTTTCCCATGTGTAAGGATGTCAGCATCAGTCGCAACTTAAGAGCCTCCGTTCCTCAACGACGCTCGATCAGCAGAAGAGCGCCAAATTCAAATAGTGGGGTGACAGACCGACTCAGTCTTTGCACGCCAAGAACGTTACGATACCATACGTACACCGAATCTGGCAAGGACCGATGCAGGACATCATGAGCTACAACCGCACCTGTATTCCTCAAACCAATTCAAACAAACAATCCTATTCGAATGCGATAAACCAATCTTTAAAGGCTAGGTATGTATAAGCGGCGAACACTATGAAGGCTCAGCCGAGGGAAAAGCGTCTAAAGTCGGCCGGTTTGCGCTACACTCTGTGTCAGCTGGCGTGCATGTGCTTCGCGCAACACGGGTGGTCGCCACCGGCAGCATGGTGATGGAGGTAGCAGGGTGGGTGCATATTGCAGGGTCATCTCATGCAGAGACGGGGGTTTATGGCTGGATCCTACGGGCGCTTTACCCTATGAGAGAACGAGAAATGGCCTAAGCCTGGCGGGGTAAGAAGCTAGCTTTGTTGGGCGGCAAGTCTGAACACCATGATTGGAGACGACGACGTCGAACGTATGCGAAAGAGTAAGACTGAGTGCGGCGCTATGAGTAGTATGCTTGGGAGTTATAAATATTAGACGTGGAGGCATATCCGCTCAAATTTGAAGTTATATATCCAGCTTCTGCGAATCGAAACCTACATACGTATATAGCCAACCCAGAGATTTTTCACCACCCAATCCGACTTCAAAACTCGGTCCAGAAATGACTGGCCAGAATACGGGCGCAACTAAGACAAATGTGTCAACCAATGCTCGTCAGATGGCGCCGTCATCTACCATGTTAGACATTCTAGCCCATCATTATACATTGTCTGATAATCTTGACAGCCTCACTAAGACGGTTCCTCTTTCGGAAGCTGCGTTGAGAAAACAGAACACCGACACGCGCTCAGTAAACCGCTTGTGGGATATGGAAGAAATGAACAGGATCGAAAGACTGCAGCGCGCTGCAATGGAGCTTGGATTCGAATTACCTTCACGATGCTACCACAGATAAAGGTTCAAGTACATTGGTCTGGTGTACCCATACCATCAATGTATTCTATCCTTGATAGCTTCCACGATGCTCTTTAGACCACTCAGTCTCTCTTCTCTTGTTTCCCCAAGATATAAGCTGGCAACAGGCCATGCGTGGATGCCACCTGGCTCTTCCCAGCTATCAACTTCCTTTCCTGTTTTACCGAGTAGACGGATCAAGTTCCTGGTCTCTGGTCCGAGAACTTCTTCGCTTCCATAGAGAAAGTACCAGCCTTGTTCGGGGCTAGCTTCCGTCCATTTTTTAACATCTTTACACTTTCCAGGCGAAACCATTGAATCCTCTGGTGATACTTTGTTGCCAATGTACTGGCGACCGTACAGCTCTAAAGATGAGCTGTTCAGATAGTCAGACGCCGTGTTCCGGTTTTCGCGCGATACTATCGTCACCCATGGGCTGATCATGATGGCAAGACCCGGTTTCTGATGACGCAATTCGGTATGGTCGGATAAATGTAGTAAGAAACTCAGGATGAGGGTTGCACCTGCAGAATCTCCGCCAACAACTACGTGAGTCGAAGATTGAGCCAGTGATAGAACATATTCGTAACCTGCGACCGTCTCGTGGAGCTGGGTGGGATATGTGGCGTCCGGTACCAAGGTGTATTCCAGAGCGAAGATAGCTGGGTTGCGATACCCGGCAGACTTTAGCAAAGTGACCCACGCTAGCAGAAACTCCATGTAGAAAAAACTGCTGCCCATGGAAAAGCCGCCACCGTGGCAATAGTATACGATTACATCTGGCTGCTCTTGCCGATCGTGCACGATCCATACCCCTCCGAAGTTCGGTCTTCTGATCTCAGTCCATCTGATCGGACTTGTGACAATGCCGTGTCTCAACATGCGAAATCTTAAGAAGGGGAGTGAGACAGCCTTTGAAAAGAACACCCGCCCTAAAAAGGCGGGCATGTTGGCGAAAGCATAACGAACAAAGCGGATGACTAGATCTTGAAATGGCGTTGCTTTTCTGACGAAGGGCGCGCGGTTCTCATGTGGCACGAGAAAGCGTTCGCGGATGAACTGATATGGAATTACGATGGCTTTAGGAGCTATAAGTATCAGTACACTCACGTATGGAGAGTAATGTGACTTACCGAGAGAAGGCAGAGCTGGGATGAGCCATGTCAAGAGTGGTATGATGCCAATCTGGATCAGCAATTGAGGCGCAAGAAAGACGAGGAAAGCTACACAGTCCAAGTAAGAGATTTGGCTCAGTATCATCTTGATGAGATAGGATATGGATGAAGCATGTCAGCTAATGGCATACCCAGCGACGGTGTCTCGAAACGCCAATTGCGATGACGCTGACAAGGGTCCAGCTAAGCCACAACCGCTTAGCGCCACACGACGGTACCGCATTTCCTTTGCTCCAGCCTTGACCAGAAACATGCGAGAGTCCCGAACGCTGCTGGACGCAAATCGCGCGTGTTCAGTGAGAAGTGAAACCCGAGCATTGTCTTGCTTGAGCAAACGATAGTTCGCACGTGACGGAGATTAGTGGCGCCGCGCACGGACCTATCGGTCGGTCGCGACTTCCAGAAAACTTCCGCGACTCACTTAGCTGTCACTCCGCAAACACGACTACAACGCCTGCAATCAACGCCGCCCGCTTGCCTGCGCCCGCATCGAAGGATCACATCAAACCGGTCGCTTCTTGTCTGTCATTTCTCTCTTCGATGTTAATGGAGTAAAGCCCGGCGCAGACTGCGATTCATCTTCTTACACGGCAGCCTTACCCGAAGTCGCGAACCCGTAGGACCTCACCATGGCCAACCCCGCGGCGGATCCCAAGGCGGCACCGCTCGCCGACGAGCTGAGAGAGCTTGCGCTGTACATATGCCTTTTTCCAATTAGCACGACCAATACTAATATGTGCAGTTCGCTCCCAACCACTGTCTTCCCTAAGAACTTCTTCTGCGCCCTTTGCAACCAGCTTGCATTCGACTCATACAAACTAATCTGCTGCGCCAAGTCAATATGCTCATCATGTGCGTATAACAATCTCTGCGATCGGACCATCACAGGTGCTGACATGGTTTAGGTCAAGGAAACCTTCAGTTCCCGACAACGTGTCCCTCATGCGACCACTCACCACTCGAAGCCGAATCATGCACAGTGAACAAGTCTCTGAGAAATACGATGCGAGTGTGGCTCCAAAAGCAGAAGAAGAAGGAAGAGGCCAAAGCCGCGGCACAGGCAGCTACCCCGCCCGTGGAGGTTACACCAGCCGCGCCTGAAGTACAGCCGGTAGGCGATGGCGCAGAGAAACCCGTAGACAGTGTTGAGGATACACTAAAGGCGGAGGACGGCGTCGCTGAACAAGCTGCTGGTTCTGCGGAGAACGCGGAAGAGGCTGGAAAGCGCGCCGGCTCTGCCTCGGCCCAACCGAACGAGGTAGGTTCCCAATGTCTTTCCTTCCGTTTTCACTTGGATCTGTTGGTACTGTACAATGAAAAGAAGAAAAAGACAAGCAAAAGAGAGACCGTCGGGTGTCAAACAATTGCAAAACATGGTTGCCACACGTGCCAATGACATGAGATGCTTTCCATTCCACCTTTTGCTTTTACTGACCAAGCTAGGACAATGCTTCTCTTGAGAACGACGCCGAGCGACGTGGTAGCACGGCTTCCCAGAACGCGTCCAAAAGCACCGAACAGGCAGCTGTAGACGGCGCGACCGACGAGCAAAAGAACGCGAATGGAGCAAATGGCATGATGGGCAACAATCCGGCGATGAACGGCATGCAAGGCCAGATGGGCTTCGGCTTTCCCAATCAGGGTGGCTTCAACAACGGTATGGCCTGGAGCGGCATGCCTAACATGATGGCCAATGGTGGCTGGAATGGCATGAATCCTATGGGTATGTTTTTGCATTCTCCCCCATCTATCCAGCAGGCCACTAACATCTATCCAGATTTCAACAGTATGAACGGCATGTACGGCAACTTTGGAGGGAACATGGGCATGGGCATGAACGATATGTCTGCCATGAACATGATGCAATATGGTGGTGGCTATGGCAATGGGTGGAATGGCATGGGCGGTGGTTATGGAAACTTCAGCGGGCCCAATCAGATGGGTGGCTATAATCAATCTGGAGCATATCCCGAGATGATGAACCAGTTCCCCAAGAATAATTTCTCAAACCAGAACCAGAATCGTTTCCATGCCAATCAAGGAGGAGCAAATCCTCAGCGAAACAACAGGAATGGTAGCCAAGGTGGCTTTGGTCCTGGTTCACAGAATGCGCCTGGACGTCCGGGTAGTCGCGGCGGTCCTTCGCAAAACGTACGTTCAACCCATCAACGAAAGCTACCGAACCCATTCAAGGGAATCGGCAAAACTTGGATATCAAAAACTGACGCGATTCATCCTACGCAGCGTGACGGCCAGTCGCCTGACGGAATCGCTAACACTGCCCCTGAGGTCAAGGCCGAGGGTGAGCAGCCGAAGGCGTCCGCAGAGCCCACTGAGGAAGGTAAGGAGACCGGCGACGGTATTCCGGTATCGACTGAACAGCCGAACTCTGCAGACGGCGTCGGT